TCACCACCTGCCATGGCAAGTCTCGCATTTCAACTTTGCTCAGCTTAAGGCACTACTTCTTCTATGCCTCCAGGATCACAAATTCACACCATCTCCCTGAGTGCTTGGCAGGATATTAACTTCTGTAGCTCAGGAGAGTGAACCTGAGTCAGTAAACTCTACCCAATTTTACATTTTGTCCCCCTTGAAGCACCCTTAGATTCAACACCCTTAGAATCAACACCCTTAGAATCCGCTACCATGCGTACTCCCGGGCTTCAGGAGGGAAATGATGGCTACATCTCCATCATGTCTTCAGATTATAAGGGAACCATTTATACCTCCTTCAGAGTCCCTAGTCTTATTTTGTTATATTTATTGTGTTACAAAACTACTATTGCTGCTAATAAAACACACGACCCTATGGACGGGGCAGGGTTTTGTATAATCTGGAGATTTCTCTTTCCCGAGAGGCAAAGAAGGTCCAAGGGACCCCTGCCTGTAGGCATGCTCACAGGAGGTAATCCAGTAAAGAACCCACAGGACAGAGAGAGGGGCGGGGATTGAACCAAGAGAAACTGAGGCAAGACCAGCTTCCTGGAGAAGATGGCCAGTCACAGCTAAGTGACCACATAGATGAGAACAAGAAATGGCTCTGGGATGTGGCCAGTAGGAGGTTTGTGATAATCTGGGCAAGAGCCGGTAGAATAGACAGGACAGTGGGGGCAGCTGGAGGCCTTCCTATTGGTTAACCTCTGTTTTTCTCCTCGTCCCACTGGAACCGAGCACAGTGCTGGCACAGAGGGGGTTAATGTCTGCCAAAGACGAGCAGGGCAATTGGGTGACTCAACGTGGAAGTGATCTCTCCCTTTTTCTGAATTATCACGTGCCTTTTCTCTGTCTCTCCGGATTGCCTTCAATATTAGATTGCGGGTATTTGTGTGCAGGTTTTCATTTCTCTCCTTTCCTAAACTGTCAGCTTTATGAAAGCAGAATCTTTTATTTACGCTAAGGGCCCAGCACAGACTCTTGTACTTATTAGGTGTTCAATAGCATTTGTTCAATGAATGAATGAAGCAGAGTAATGAATGAATGAAAGGTCAATGATGTTCCCTCATCTGATATGCCTTTTACTAAATCTCCTTTTTTAAAAAATTAATTAATTAATTAATTTTGGCTGCGTCGGGTCTTAGTTGTGCCATGCGGGGTCTAGTTCCCTGACCAGGGATCGAACCGGGGCCCCCTGAACTAGGAGTGAGGAGTCTTACCCACTGGACCACCAGAGAAGTCCCCTAAATATACTTTATCGAATATATATTAATCAACATAAATGTATGTAAGGGGTCAAGAGGAAACTCAACATATTAAATATCAAGAACGATCTATGCAAAAGGATTTTTTAAAGGTGTTTTGGAAAAGGAAGCCCAGAAAATGAAAACGTTTTTCCCACCTGTTGTTCCTCATTTATTCATTAATTACCCCAAACTTCTATTTAAATGCTATTAATGTGTCTCCTAAAATTATCTAGTGACTGACATGATAAGGTAACATCTCAGACCTCATGCTGCCGAACCAGCAAGCAGGCTTCTTTCACACCTCACAGCCGATTTCAGAGGTGAGACTAGGTACCCAGGCCTGTGAATATGTGAGACTTTAAAATTACCCTGGGTTCTCAAGCAGCACTCACCCATTAGTTCCCATGGAATGCACGTACATATGCGCTCAGGTGACGTATCTTGTATCCACGTGTCTTATTAGTCTCCCAAGACCTGATAAGCAACTCTCTTTGTTCTCTGGACATCCAAGCTCTTACTATGTCACCTTGTTAAGTAAGTAATACGCCTTCCATCTGAGAAATTCTGGAGCCACCAGTTCAGCTAATACTAGTTTTCTCTTGTGACAATACTCTAAGGAAAATGGCGCTCACTTGCAGAGCGGTTGTGAATATGGGAAGTGCTCAAAAAATATTAGTTCTCTCGCTTCTTTAAAATTGGGAATTTTTCCATAGTGGATTTTTTTGTGCTCCCCTCAGATACCCTGGGACCCCCTCCCTGGTTTCTGCATGCATTGTGCTTTTGCATCTGTTGGCCTGCTCCAGCAGTTCTCTGCCCTGGGGCTACTGGAGCCCTTTGCTTGCAGGTACAGAGAGCAGGAAGGACCTGGGAGTTATGTCTCCCTGGGGTGGGTTTTAGCCCAGGATTGTGTGATGCAGGGTGTCAAAGCCCAGCCCCTTTATCTGAGCAGGGACAGACTCTGAGGCATCCCTTATACGCCGGAGTTTCCTGCAGAATCAGGCTGAAGACTTGGCCTGACATTGAACTCCTGCTTGGCTTCTTTTCCCCTTCCTGTTCTGTCTCCCTGATTCCTTTACCAGCTTCTCCTGGGGACAAGTTCTTGCAAGTTATCTGCGTGTGAGTCCTCATGTCAGTGTCTGCTTCCGGAGAAACCAATCTAAGTCAGTTTTGTTAGGTGGAAAATGCATTTACCAAAACAAAAGGATTGGTCATTAAATAGCCTCTCCCTGGATGTGAAGGGCCAGGGATGCTGCTGCCGAGGTCCAAGTGGTAGCTAGGTGGATCTGAGCAAGGATAGTGCTGGAGGGATGGAGGGGGATGGGCACAGAAAGGAACATATTGTAGAATCCACAGAATCAAAGAGCTGGAGGTGGAGGCAGAAGGGAGGAGGGCGGGTAAGATCCAAGGATGGCTCTACGTCCATGACTCGAGAGGCTGCGTGGACAGTGACCTTGGGAACCAAGTAGCAGGACATGGGGAGGAGGCAAGCTTGAGTGTGAGCGTGTCAGGCTTGTGGGACATCCAGGTGGAAGTCCTTGTCACAGACACAGAGCAGGGAAGCTCCAGGCACGGAGGCAGTGCCTGAAGCTCAGAGTGCTAAGTATATGTATCTGGGCTAAGGAGCTGTTCAAGCAGCAAATACGAAAATCCAAGGGAAAGAAACACACAGGGGCAGCGACACAGACAATAAAAATCAAGCATAAACAAAACAAAACTCTGAATCCCACAAACTAAGCATCCTTCCCAGTAATTTCTGATCTCCTCTGCTCCACGCATTAATCCAAAATATCTTTCCCCTAGTTGACCTAATGTTCTCTTTAAACTTAATATTATTTTTCATTGGTTGTATTTGCCCCATACATGAATATTTCTTGTTGCCTCTTCACCTCTCTGAGGCTCATTTCCCACATCTCTAAAATGAGGGGCTACCTTACAGAGTTGCTATGAGGATCCATGAGATAATTCTTGTGGGTTGCCTAGCATATCTGTTCATGATACGGGCCTGGAAAGTGTCATTGGCTCACTTACCCATTTCACTGGCATGCTTCCTGTCACGTGCTCTTTCTAATAAAAAAAATTACATTAAAAACTTTTAGAAAAAAAAAAAGACTAGGGTTAGAATGACTAGGATGATGATTCAAGTCTGAAAATATAATTAAGCTGTTTTTCACCCAAAATGACTTTGCTGATGAAATATGGTATTGGTAGAGGACTGGGTGTCTAGAGGAAGTGAGGGGGATTTCAGAAGATAGATCACCCCTGGGAAAGGCACACTGAAATAAAATTAGCCTGTGGGGTTTTATAAAAAGATGCCATAGAGAAAGAGAAGGCCCAGGAAGAAGAAGCCATACATCACGTTTTTCATAATTTTTAAAATAGAAAGTCAAGACATTTTTACCATTTTCTGTATACAAGAGACAATTTATGTGGTCATTCTTTTGGGACAAATTGACAATTGTGACAAATTTTTGAGTTCCACTCTTTCTCTCTCCCTCTCCCTTACATGTCTGTTGAAACAAGTAGCTCCCTGGCCTAGATGTGGAAATCATCAAGGGGGTGGGCAGTGCCCTACTTATTTTGCATCCTTGGTGCTTAGAAAGCGCCTGGTAAATAGAAATTTTGAGCCAATAAATGTCTGTTGAATGGCTGAATGATTGATTGAACAAATCAATGAATAGACAATAACATTCACTATCCTCCAGAAGATTACAATACATTGCACAGGAGAGAGCACACCCTTGGAGAGAAAGTTAGATGGTCCAGGGAAATCGAGGGCACAGGCTTTGGAACAGCAATCAGCGCTTCACGTGGGAACAATGCTGAGGTGGGTGATGAGTCTGCCAGGGCTTCAAATACTGTATTAAAAATTAAATCTGCAGTTCATGTTTATTCCATGGTGTGTTTTGCATTCTGGACAATCCTGGCAATATCTGGAGAATTACTGTTTACATCAATTAGAATTCCAGCATGTTTGAGCTGGAAAGCATTGGATTTCTTGGAGGTGGTGCAAATAATCTCAGAAAGTGCTTTCATCAAAGTGAATAACTGTTTTTTGTTTGTTTGTGGGTTTTTTTTTTTTTTGGCCGTACCGCGTGGTTTGCAGGATCTTAGTTCCCTGACCAAGGATTGAACCCGTGCCCTTGGCAATAAAATTATAGAGTCCTAACCACTGGACAGCCAGGGAACTCCTGAAAGTGAATAACTTCGGAATTGAAGGGAATTTAGAGACATCTTAGTTGATCCTCCATATGAAAAATGAGGAAACTGAATTCCAGAAAGGGGAGGTGGTTTGGTCAAGGCCCATGTAATACAGTCCTATAAATGCTGCTTTGACTTCGTTTTGAGGCCTCAGCTAGAGGCTGGTTAGTTCCCCATTCTGAGCAGTGGATTAAGTCCACACCCCCAACCATCTTCTTCACAGGCATCCCACACTCTCCATCACTATGCCCGCCCTAATTGCTCCAGGGTCCGGTCCAGACAACCAGACACAGCCCCGATACCCAAGATCCCACTGAAATTACTCAAATGAGCCAATCCTAACCCTGCTTACCTTGCATCACCTGTTCCTTCCCAAGGAACCCACAGTCAAGGGTCTTGCCCACAGGTCCCCTCCTCTCTCTTTCTGGTGACTGACCCCAGGAGTCCCCTGAGTGTCCCTGTGTGGTGTGCTGTGTTTTCCCCAGGAAACTGTACAACTCCTTTCGGTCTTTCCCTCTTGATCAGCAGCTGGCTGCACCACACCTCGCCCGAGGTCACCTGGTGAAAATGTTCCACCGTGAATTGAGGCCAAGACCAAAGCTCTGATGGAGAAGAATCAAGCCAGAACCCTCCCCTGACTCCTTCTGCCAGCCTCAGATGCCGGTGATGTATTTCTCCCTTAAATATATGATCTAAAATTTTGCTTCCTGAGGCTTTACTCTTCTTTCTCTAGATGCCATTTGGTCTCCTAGGAAAGAAGTCAAACATAATCTCTTACCCAAGTTCCACTGAAGTGAGGGTTCACACCCATCTTTTAGGAAGGATTTTAACCCATCCAGCAAGAGCTGTGGAATTGGACAACACTTGCCCTCCAAAAGTCCTACTTTGTGGCTGACTTAAATAATTTTTGCTGCAAATCTGGGTTGCAGCCTCTGTTTCTTTTAGCTGCTTAATGGGGTTGAGGGATGGCCAAGGGTCCGTCTCCATGAGGAATGTTTCTTCTCCTGCAGGCTGCTTAAACGTGACGCATGCTGCACTTCAGTCAATGCCTAAAGTTCAGGGTCACGTAAGTGACATTTGAGTGGCCTGTCCAAATGGATTTTTAAGAAAAAAACGTCAGTGTCAGTGACAGATATGTGGATAATTGAATTATTAAATACAATTTCCTTTTTTTTCCCCCATGGGCATGCCCCTTACATATTTTTTTAATGATCCATTTCTTAGTGACCAAATAATCACATACATAGAAATCTCTTTGCTTATTTCTCTTCTTTCTTTTTTTGGAATAATAGTATGTTAAATGTGAACCCTTAGGATCCGAGAACTAGTTAGAAAGGAAGTAAATGTCACCTAATCAGATTTCTCACATCTGAAATCTGAATCTACTAAAACTACATTTCTCAATTTTTTCAAGAATAAGAAGTCACTTTTAGGCTCAAAGGATTTCACAGATCCCTGTATAATAGTAGTTGCATTTTTAGTATCCGTGGATTGAGAAGCTACTACAAATTCAGTCACCCCTTTAAATGAAGCTTTATCTTACGAATCATAACCACGTATGTGCACATTGAACAACATATATTGGTGAGAGGGTGGAGAGGATGAAGGTTATGGACTCAAAGACTCTGCAGTTGCTTCACCAACCCTTCCTTTCTGCCGACACTGCACCCCCGAGACTCACACAACCCATGCTGGTTCTCTGAAACATTTCCGCCAAGTAGTTCTGGTTTCTGCCTGTAAATTCCCTGTGCTGGGCATCTCACTACCTCACAAAGAAGCCCTCTGTATCTCTGAGCTGCTCTGCCTAATATTGGCAGCTTCTTTCTAATGTTTAGCTAAAATCCTTCTCTCTGGTTTTCACCCCCTGAGCCCAATGAAGACAATTATCGTCTTTCACATGACAACTCAGCATTCATGCTTTCCACCCCCAGTAGGGCCAGGATGGAGTGGGCCCAGAAAAGGCTGCTCTGAGGGACATACAAAAGGCTAAGGCTCTAAGGGCTGCAAAATTAGTGGGTGCTGCTGTGGACCCATCCTTGGACTCACGTGACTACTGGTATCATGGGGACAGAAGAATCCGAGTCAAGAGTCCCGGCTGACAGTGAAGAAACAGAGAGGTGGAAACTTCACAGCTGACTGGGTCCCAGGGATTCCAGGCTGATAGGAGATGATTATGATGAGGAATTTATCAACCCAGTGGTGAAAGGTGGCCAAAAATTAGGTCCCAAGTAAATCTTTGAACTAACATCTGGATGTAGTGGGAAAAGTATTCAGATGAAAACCACCAGACCTAAAAGAAACTTACTGCAGATCTCTTCACGCAACCTCAAGATGTTCTTATCCATGTTCTCACTGGTATGATTCCATATTTATAAGATCACATGTGTACACACACGCGTGTGGGCACACACACACACACACACACACACACACACAGCATGTTTCTATTCTTGCTGATTTCTTTAGTGATGGAACACATGACTTTTCAGCTAGCACGTGACTCCCTTAGCTATGAGTGGGTGATCAAAGGGAATATAGTGTCCTAGAAATTCCCATGTCCTTCTTCCCACTCTTCCTTTGACCCTCCTCCCAGGCTCCCCTGTTTCTAAATAAACATACCCAGGTCACTGAAAGTTTTTAAGACCCCCCCCCCCGCATCTTCCAAGTTTCTCTTTTCTAAATATGTTCCTTTGGCCAAAGCACAGTACTGAGAATTTAACCCGTGACTCCACATGTGGACTGAATAAAATGGAATCTTCAATGTCCTCCCTTTATTGCTAGTAGCCCACATGTTGTACACAGACCACATTCTGCACAAGAGGCTAAACACCCACCCCATCTCATGCCCAACCAGGCAGGAGAGCCCAGTGGTTAAGAACAAGGGCCTGGACTCAGACCCACCTGGTCTCGACACCTGTCTCCTCGTCTCTCTCTGTGAGTCATTCAGCCTCTCCAACCCCAGTATCTACCATCCTGAAAGGCTGGATTTGGGTGAAGGTTTGCAAAAAGAATCCTGTTTTTTTCTCATTCAAACACCTTCCATTTGTTAATTTATTCCACACATATTCTTCCAGACAGTGTTGATGCGGAATGAACAAGACAAACTTCACCCTGGTCTGATGGAACTTACCTCCTAGAGGTGAAAATGGACAAAAAAGCGGTAGGTAATTGAATGAGTGATATGTCAGGTTGCGATTAGTGCCAGGTATGAATATTATATGGACTGAGGGGATGGAGGTTACAGACGGTGCTTTTTATTTTTTTTAATTTATTTATTTTTGGCTGCATTGGGTCTTCGTTGCAGTGCGTGGGCTTTCTCCAGTTGCTGTGAGCAAGGGCCACTCTTCGTTGCGGTGCACGGGCCTCTCATTGTGGTGGCTTCTCTTGTTGTGGGGCACGGGCTCTAGGCACACGGGCTCAGTAGCTGTGGCTCGCAGGCTCTAGAGCGCAGGCTCAGTAGTTGTGGCGCACAGGCTCAGTAGCTGTGGCTCGCAGGCTCTAGAGCACAGGCTCAGTAGTTGTGGTGCACGGGCTCAGTAGTTGTGGCTCGCAGGCTATAGAGCGCTGGCTCAGCAGTTGTGGCTCACAGGCTTAGTTGCTCCACAGCATGTGGGATCTTCCCGGTCCAGGGCTCGCACCCATGTCCCCTGCACTGGCAGGCAGATTCCCAACCACTGCGCCACCAGGGAAGCCCAGACAGTGCTATTTTAGCTGGGATGGTCTGAGGAAGCCTCAAAGCACAAGCTGCTTGTAGGAGCGAGGGTCTGAGTGTACAGGTAAGTCACAGAAAGTCCGACGTAAACAGGCCTCGTCAACGAGGAAGCGTGCATCTCACATAAGGAGAGTTACGTTCACCGCATTCAGGGCTGGCCTCACTCAGAGGCTGCAGCAATGGTCTGAGTGGCACAGCCCATCAGGGCTGCATGGACAGAAGAAAGAAGACCAGCTCCTCCAGGGGTTCATTTTAAGGGGAGAGGAAGCCATTTCCCAGAAGCTCTACTCAAGGCTTGCTTCTCACGTCTCAGATCCTAGAATTAGGTCAAATACTTGTTCCGGAACAAGTCATTGGCAGGAAGAAGTAATTACACAGTTGGCCTGGGCTTTTCCAATACAGGCACCACCAGCCAGGCCTTCATTCGACAGTTCGTATATGTCAGACACTCTGTTCAGCATACAGGTAGAGTCCTCTCCTCAAATTTAAAATCCTATGAAGACTTTGAAGCCTACATTTGTCCATCCACGTTCCATGCATGCATGCGCAGTGTGTTATCATGGGCAGGAACACAGCCAGACCTGGAGCAGTCTCTTCTTACCCCTCAAGACCTTGGCATCCTGGGGTATTTACTTAGCCTCTGAAGTCTCTGTTTCCTGATCCAAGAAATGGATGAAAATAATCACCCCTTCCTCATAGGATCGCTGTAAGATGGAGCTAGGGGCAGCACAAAGTAATTGCTCACTTAGCACGTCAGTGACGCGCAGGGCAGGGCAAGGGCGCCTCAAGCGAGATGCCAGGACCGCAGGTCCCTGCCTGGGTGCCTGGCTTGCCTCACCCGTGCCCAGGCCCTGGGTGGACATCAAACACGTATTGACCTTCTAGTTATGTGAGACTGTGCCGTCGACACCCTTTGGTCAAAGGCCACTAGGAACATACCTGGAGTTGAGCAAACCAGGTATCCTACTTGTTGCAGGAGTGAGAAGGCAGAGCACAGGGAACCGTGGGGAGTCTCAGTAAAAGGGGACCAGAAAGAACCTGTTCTAGGATTTGGGCCTTGTTTGGGGATTTGGGGCCCAGTAAAGACACAGGGGTCAACTCTAAGTTGGGTGTTGTTAGAAAGTGGGGACAATTTACGTTTGGGTTTCTCAATAAATCTCAATCTATAGGGAGGGGAGCCTAGAGCGAGGATAAGACTGGGATTGGAAAAGAGGTCACAGTCGCTCATTGTAGCCAAGAGGTGGGGATGTTTAATATTTAGTGGGTGGCCCAGGGACATCATTTTGACCTGTTCCCAGACAAGATTATGAAGTGGCCCTGTTTTGTATCACTTTCCCATAGTCTCAGAGTAACCTTGTAGGATGCTGGTGTCCTGGAGAAGGTTTATGTCCAGCAGCAGAGGGATCTGGCCTTGCCGTGAGGGCCCAGCCAGTTTCTGGATGGTTTTTCTTTCTTAGTACTAGACAATGGAGGCCAAACATTAAGTCCCTGCCCTCAAGAAACTCATAGCCTGGAGGGAGGCAAACATTTACAATACTGTATGAGGATAATGCATTTATCATTACTGCAATAATGGAGGTGTTATATCTAGATGGGGGGGCTCATGGGAAGCAAAGGGGAGCACCAGCGAAAGCTTCTGCAAAGGAGGGTATATTCCGCTCGGGACAAAGGATGAGAAAGAGAAAGAGACAAAGGAAACCCTCCCTGAGTGTGGCCGGCTGTGCTCCAAATTATAAATTCAACACAAGCCCCAGCAACTTTGCAACTGTAGACGTTTTCTTCTCTCTCTTTCCAGGAAGAAAAATAGCCCTTCTATTTTCATCTTTGGAATCGCCATTTGTCATTCTCAAGGTGCCTCGGTGCCTTTGTCTCTGGTGTCAGCTGGCAGCAACGTTGCTAAAAATAGCTGGCGCAGGGAATCGCTCTACACACTGAACATTAAAAATAGAAAGGGAAGCACTGATGTGAATAATGCATAGGAGAGAATCCCGCTCGCGCTGGCCTCCAGGTTCTCCGGGGGCCTGGCTGCTGGGCAGAGCCCTGCAGGGCAGGGGAGGATCAAAGCATTTGTTCCGCTCCTGCTTCAGTGAAAGGGCAGCCCGCAAATGACAGCTTGCCCCTCGGCCTGCCTGGGCCTGCGAAGGCTGAGAAGAAATGAAGGCTCGGACCAGCATTCTGGAATGCAGATCTGCTGTCTAATTTATAAGCAGAAATTCAAATGCCATCCACGACCAGCACAAAGGAGGGGTGGGTCTGTGACATGGCAGTGAGGACATGCCCTATGGGAAGCCATGGAGTTTCTTTAAAAAATATCCTGCTGGCCAATCAGAACCCATCTGCAAGGGGAGCTTGTTCTGCAATCCCCAGATTAGGATTTCTGCAAAATGCAATAGCTGTTCAAAGTCAAGACCCGACTGCATCAGCCAGAGGGGAGCTCCCGCCACATCCAAGAACGTCGTAAGTTCCTCATCAATATTGATGAATAACCAAATGTTCTTAGAAGGATACACAAAAAACCTCCCTTTACACTGACTCATTTGCCATGACCAGACACTAGTTTTATTTCTGGCAGTCCCAGACTGTCAGCACTGAAATAACTCAGAGACTGGTGCGTAGAGTGCAGGGTGAAGTCCCGAGAAGGGAAGAAGGTATCTCAGGTCACTCAGAGGCGAGGCTGACCTCCCCCTTCACTGCCCCTGATTTGCCTTCCCCAGCGGTTGCCTGCTGAGTCACCTCTTCAAATCCTCATGCAATAGGAGCCTTGTTCCCAAACGCAGAACAAGCCTTGATGCAGGTAGAATTCACTGTGTCTGACCCAGCACATACATCAGAGGTGGTATGCAGTCCCTTCGTGGCCCTGAACTGTGGGACTAGGGCAGCCCATGGACCCCCAGCATTGCCCTGGAGTACAGGGTCTCTGCTGCATCCATCTAGCAAGCTGGGTTTTAATCTGATCCAATAGTCTTCCTAGCTCTCCTAAGAGAAAGGTAACTGCTATTACAGAGATCGTCTCTCCTTCCTCAGGGGCGGGGGCTTCATTCTCAACCCACATCCAGCATCCTCGTCGAATGGCTAAGGACACAGCTTTGGAACCAGCCTGGGCTCAAATCCAGTTCTGTCCTTGACCGTCTGCTCCACTTTGAGCAGCATGCCTGACATCTCCAGGCTCCTATTTCCTGCTCCTGAAGTGGGACCAATACCACTGATTTACCAGGGCTGTTACAAAGCCAAGACCACAAATGAGAAAGGTTGACCACAGTGACCACACACAACTGGCGCTCCGCAGACAGCAGTGCCTCCTGTTTCCCAGAGCTTCAATGTCTGCACTGCAAGCCTCTCGGTTCCGACTGAGAGCTGGCTTTGAATCCCAGGTCTGTGACACTACCTCGGTGGCCTTGGGTAACGGGCATCCATCTGCTTGCTTGTAAATGAAGACCATCAAGCCTCCCTTGGTGGCTGTGGAGCAGGTTAGTGAGATGACAGGATACAGGGCAGCTGTGATGACATCGAGCCCTCAGGCCTTCAGGATGTGAAAACCGTTTTCCTTGTAGGGGCCATAGAACCGGCCTGGCATATGCTTAAATTGGTGGCAGGTCAACTTTTATTTTCCTGTCTTTCCCTCATCATTCACTTATTCAGTCATTCTTTTACTCATTCATTTACTCTTTTATTTATTTATTAATTCATTTGTCAAATCCCCAAAACATATACCCTGGGCTGGGTCCTATACTGCTTACTGCATTACCAGAGAGGAATAAGACATGCCCCTGACTTTGATGGGGGCCCCTAAGAAGGAAGGTCACCCTGGCAAATGTTCATCAAGAACCTTGAAGATTCCATGGGCCTCTCCTATCCTTTTCCTGTTTTGATTTTTGTCTCCTACTATCCAGTAAAGTGGGTGAGGTAGACAGAATAGTGTTTCCAAAGATGACCACGGCCTAATCCTTGGAAAATGTGAATGTTACCTTCCATGGCAAGAGGGACTTTGTGGATGGGATTAAGTTAAGCATCATGATACAGGGAGATAACCCTGGATGATTGGGTTGGGCCCTCAATGTAAGGACAAGGGTCCTTAGAAGAGGGAGGAGGGAGATCTTATTTCAGAGACAGAGAAAGTAAAATATGACATTGGAGGGCAGAGGTTGGAAGAGACTGGAGCCATGTGGCCAAGGAATGCTGGCAGCCTTGGAAACACAGAAACATGTTTGGGAACATGGAAAGAACACCAAATACCCATTCCTAATACTCACACTGTACCTTAGAGGAAAACTACACTGGATTCATACACAGTGAGAAAACATTCAATGAATCAGCCCTCTAGGATCGGAGCAAATAGAACATCTACCCAGAGCTACCTAAGCAGGGGACAGATGGAAACAAATGACACAATGACTCAGCAAATACAGTACAGAAGAAAAAACTACACTCCTGAAAGGAACACAGCAAGC